TTGCAACCAAGATTACTTTATCCAGCAAGGCTATCATTCAGAATAGAAGGTCAGATAAAGAGCTTCAAACAAAATAAAAAGCTAAAGGAGTTCATCACCACCAAACTAGTATTATGTGAAATGCTGAAGGGTATTCTTTAGGAAGAGAAAGAAGAAGAAGATGAAAAAGGTAAAAATAAAAATTATGAATAACAAAGTGACAATAAATACATATCTATTAACAAGTGAATCTAAAAATCAAGTGAATAAAAAATGTGATGAACAGAATAAACTGGTGAATAGAATAGAATCAGGGGCATAGAAAGGGAGTGGACTGACAATTCTTGGGGGGAAAGGGATACGGGGCTGCGGGAAGAGACTGGACAAAAATCGTACACCTATGGACGAGGACAGGGAAGGGGTAAGGGCAGAGGGTGGGGTGGGAACTGGTTGGAGGGGAGCTATGGGGGGGAAAAGAGAAACAACTGTAATAATCATGTGTCATCTTCCTTCATGCTTGTTTTCAAGACTGATTTTATTATTTTCCTCTCTGTGTCTGCTTCCTGTCCCTGAAACTTGGTCACCTTCTTTAGATACCTCGCCTGAAATTTCACAGCCCCACTCTGCACCATCCTTCTTCCTATACACTATACAATATACTATTTCACTTATTTATCTTGCTTATAGTCTGTCTCCCCTGCTAAAATGTTTATTCCGCCTGGTGGGCATGGCTCAGTGGTTGAGCTGCGACGTATGAACCAGGAGGTTCCTGTTGGATTCCTAGTCAGGGCACATGCCCCAGTTGTGGTTGGGGTTGTGGGCTCAGTCCCCAGTGGTGGGCATGCAGGAGGCATCCGATCAATGATTCTCTCTCATCATTGATGTTCCTATCTCTCTCCCTTTCCCTTCCTCTCTGAAATCAAAACAAAGATATTAAAAAAGGTGAACTCCATGAGGGCAGAAATTGTTGCGGCTTTGTTCATGATGGGTCTCCAGAAACTAGAGCAGTGCCAGGCATCCAGTAAGTACTCAATGAGTATTTATTGGATGACTTAATGAATTCACCTTTCCCCTCACTCCCAGGGCCAGTTAATTCTGCATCTGTGGTGACTTGCTTCTGTCCTTTTCTTTCTTGTGTTGCTGCCGTTGGTTCAACTGTCATTATTTCTCAGAACTAACACAAGAGCCTGCCACCCGCTAGCTAATGAAAGTTGGCAAGTTATTGAAATTATCATAATTCCACATGTAAAAATGGGGATGGTACAGACTCATGAAACTGTCACAGGCTTCTGTACATATATAATGCATGTAAGTGCTTGGTCTGGTGCCTGTAAAACAGAATAGACACTCAGAGAATATTAACTCTTGGCTAGTTCTGGCTTAGCTTTCCTGCCTTGTCTCCTGCCCCAGCCGTGGGCAAACTACGGCCCGCGGGCCGGATCCGGCCTGTTTGAAATGAATAAAACTAAAAAAAAAAAAAGACCGTACCCTTTTATGTAATGATGTTTACTTTGAATTTATATTAGTTCACACAAACACTCCATCCATGCTTTTGTTCCGGCCCTCCGGTCCAGTTTAAGAACCCATTGTGGCCCTCGAGTCACAAAGTTTGCCCACCCCTGCCTTAACCCTATACGTTGGCTCCAATTGACCGGTTGCGGTTGCCCAAACATCACATACAACTTTGTTTTACAGGTAACACACAGCAGGAAACAAGAGGCAGACAGAACCAGCTAATTTCTTTCTCTCTGCCTTATAAGGTACTTTTTCGGACCACAGAGCCCGTGGTTTGCATCAAAGGAAGAGCAAGCTGAACGCTTTTTATTTTTCATTCTTGTTGCAGCCGATCTAAACCGAAACTAAGAGAACTATGTCGAGTGTTTTTTGTTGAGCCTCAAAATTTTGGCTAAACCGATTCATAGGTTATTAATATTTTAGACGAGAACAGTGGGGCCCAGGAAGAATAAGTAATGTACCTGACGTTATGCAGCAAGACAGAAGCTAATTGGGCAAAAGCATTTCCTTTCCTAAACTTAGGGCTTCTTATTCTTCAATGTGCTGGCGATAAACTCCAGAGTCTTGTCTTAGAAAAGCTCGCTGCCCATGCCCCCGGAGACAATTCCCTTAGATGCAGATACAACTTTAGGTAGCAACTGAACCATTTAACATTGACAGAAGGTAGCAGCTTATCAGATAGCATCTCAAGCCCCACGCAGCGCCTTGGCAGAGAGACCGACAGACACCGAATATAGGGGATTTAGAGCGAGCAGCACAACACCAGGGAGCCCCTCCGTGACTACATGGGTTTGTACGGGCATTTACCTGGGCCAAGGCCGGAGAGAAGCGAGAGAGACTGGAGCAGCCAGATCATGCTCTTTAGCATTGGGTGCTGGAGACTTCCCTCCAGTGAAGATCCTTCATGGGTGAAACTGCGAGTGCTTCAAATAGAGACTTCCGCTTCCTCTTAGAGGCGTGGCACAAATAGACCGAGACGAGGAGAGCAAGGACCACGGACCCGAAGCCCTGGGTGCCTAGCAAAGGACAATTGCAGGATGGGGTCTCACCCTCAAGGTGACCTTTCCTCCCTAGAGATGATATTTAGGCCTCAATGGTATTTCAGGCCCCGAAAACAGGAAAACCGGACAAGCAATGCGATGGCTGACATCGGGACAAGCTGCCTTGAGGAATGAGCCCGGGCCCTGGTGCTGAACCATCTCCGACCCTGAAAGTGCACACCTAGAAAGCTGCTGAATATTCTATGGAGGTCTTCCCCTGGGATGTTCCCTAAAATCTCCACCCTTAAAACCCTTAGGATGGAAGACCCAGTGATGGGGAGCATAAGACATTTTGGGGGCCAGCAATCTGAATTTGTCCCAGTAACCTGCTTTCTACTGCACTCTCTTGCTAGCCCATAATTAACTCCACTTGTGAAAGAACGTAGAAAACTAGCAGCCGGACTCTGTTCCTAAGTTAATCACTGTTCCTAATGCACATTCCTGAAGTCACTGCCCCTTCCTTAAAGATCTGGTCTTGCAAGAGCTATTTACCTAAATACTCTCAATTCACAAGGGCTATAAACCAAGGGGTGCAATCAGTGGCAGGGCTGGCTGGGGGGGAGGGGCTGAGGGTCTATCATGGTAGGGTGGGCAGATCAGGGGTGGGGCTGGCTAAGGGAAGTGCAGGGGGGTGGGGGCGTTTGGTCAATGGGAGGTTGGCAGGCCAGGCCCACCCCCAGATTGAGCCGGTTTGCTGGCCACAGTGGGCATCATAGTGACTAGTTGTACTGGTCGTTCCAGCGTTATGGTCACTGG